CGCCAACGTGTCCCTGTCCACCGAGGCCCCTCGACAGGAAGCAGGCGGTGTCTTGAGGGCCGACGCAGGCTGCGTGCTGTCGGCGGAGCTGAACGGTGTACTCACGCACTGTGGGCTAACACTAACGCACGTCCTGAACATCATCGAGCCTGGAAGACCAGACCCCTCAGGGAAGGGGACGCCCATCCAGCCGCCGGGACCGGCGCCTCCACCGCCGCGTGGAAGGCCCCCCCGAGCTTGAGCGCCGAGCCCGCCAGCAGCGAGTTGAGCCATCGCACGGCGTCCGCGTGGGACACGTCGTAGACGTTCAGCAGCACGGGCGGCCCCTCCCCGCCGCCTCCCGCGACGAGCGTCCTCGCCGGTGCCGGCACGGCCGCGGCGGGCGCCTCGTCCGCCGCGGGCGCCGCCCCAGCAGGGGCCACGCTCCCCTGCGCCGGGTACCTGAAGGAGCAGGAGAGCACGGGCCACACGCCGGGGTGGCCCTGGGCAAGAGGCGCCTCCGTCGAGGAAACGGAAAACCGAATCTGAAATTTGACGCGAGCTCCCACTTGTAAACATCTCACGAAAACTGGACCGTTAAATCCAGGCCCGCCGCTCCAAGACGGCACAAGAGGTCCCCAAGATCGCCCCTAAGACACAAGAGGGCCCCAAAACAACCAAAGAAGAACCAAGACAGCCCAAGACGCCTCCAAGACGGCCCAAGAGGACCCCGAGACAGCTCCAAGAACGTGCCCAGTTGGAGGTCACCAACGGACAGTTTGAGCCCTCGGCCCCGAGAGGCTCCGAGCAAGAGGTTCCCCAAAGGCCCCAAGATGCCCACAAGAGGTCCCCAAGAGGCTCCTATGAGGCCCACAAGAGGCTCCCAAGAGGCCCCCAAGAGGCCCCAAAGAGGCTCCCAAGAGGCCCCAGAATTCCTGCCCAGAGGCCCCCGAGAGCCTTCCGAATAGACCCCAAGAAGCATCCCTGAAGACTCTGGGACACGTCAACGTCGTCGTCGCCGCCGCCGCCCATGTCGTCGTCTCCCTTCAGGGCCTGCGGCACCGGCCGTGCGGCCTTCTCAATCCAGGACGCGCTCGTCAAAAAGCGTCGGCAAACCCGAGATCCGGCGCACGGTGGGGGCATTGGACAAGGAACCCTTAGATGCGGAATCCAGGGTCTGGAACCTAGTGGAACTCCAATCGTGGATCGGCCATGGAAATCATCGCCGCCCCCATCGGATGAGGAATCCCCCAGGGTCTACGCGCCGGCCGGAAGAAATGGGTTGCAACATGAAGTAAGAAGGCGTTGGAAGTAGATTGGGCTTCCACCCGCCCCCTGAAGAGGAGGAAAGAAGGAAAACCGCACGACTCTTGAAGTAGGAAGGCACCTCACATAGATTAGGATTTGGGCATCCAAAAACACCTACTTTCAACGACCGGCTTGTACAGCCCCTTGGGCACATTCCTTCACGAACGCCCCCACCGTACTCGAGTCCTATGTCTCCCCCGACTCTGGAGCGCGCCTTTCGGGGGCCGCGCGGGGACGAAGTGCATGCCAAGCGCGCTCGCCAGTGCTGGGGGGGGGCCCTGTGGGCCCGCACCAACCGTGGGCCCCCGCACCAGAGGCCACCCCAGCGAAGGGTCAGGCTCACGCGCGGCCGAATGCGCACCAATACGGTAGAGAGAAACAATTACTGAACACTCCCCCTACCCCCCAAACCCAATGTTGGCACGCGCGGGGGAGACTGCGGTCGAAGTGCATCTCATCAGACCCACCGCCAACTTTGAACATTGAGGGGAGGGGGAGCCGTTGACAGATGAATGTGGCATGAATGTTCGCTAATTTGTTCCGAAGCCTGTACCGCTGCCTCCACAGACCTCTCTCGTCGCGCATTCGGGCAAGAAATCCGGGGCGACCTCAGCCGTGACGACGAGGGCCCCACGAAGAGGCAAAAACGAGGGAAGGCCATCGGCATCAGTGCAGGTTCGTGTTGTGACGACGCTTTCGCCATGGTTTCTGACACCGCACGGGTCGGCGGTCAACGGTGAACGACCGCGGGGCTCCGATGCCCGCAGGATTGCTCGATATCGGCGGTCAACCTTGCACGCCCGTGCAGGGGTCGCCGCTGCGTCGACACGTCAACGAACCTGCCGCATCGGCAAATACTCGGCGGTGGACAAACCTCCCTTTGGTAAGCCCCCCCCTTCGTGAAAACGGCCTAGGACCGAAACCGACGGACCCGGACCCGCAAAAACGACGGCCGCGACGCCCTCTCGCGAACCGGCAACGGCCAAGTCCTTAATCGGCGTGTCAGGGAAGGAGGCCTGTCAACCTCTGGAATGCGCACGCGATCAGAAGTTCTCGACGTCGGCGGTGCTTGCAGAGCCGAGGAGAGCGCGGACCGCGAGGGTTTGAGGCCTCCCTGGGGCCCCACGCCCGGCCCACATCGCGGCGCTCCCCCGAGACGCCGACCACTGCATCCCACATCTGATGTTTGTCAGCCGGCCGACATGTCGGCCGGCGCCAACACGGCGAGTTCCGGCAGCCCCGAACCCAAAACAAAGTGGCATGACTCGACATCTCTCGGCGACGCATCTTTTGAGCAGGGGCCGACCGGCCCGGCGAACTCTTCTTAGAATCCGAAAATCGTCTAAGAACAAAAACAACGCTCTTAGAACATAAAACCCGATGTGATATGTAAAACACGACAGACTCCGCCGGAAATGTTCTGAGAACATTCCGTGGAAACCACAGAAGGTTCTTAGAACATTGCTTCGTGAGACTACAAGCGAGCCGGGACGCTTCGCCACAGCTTGATTTGCTTCCGCCGGCGTCCGCCAGCGGAGCCGCCCTCGTTCTGCGTCCTTTTGCCATCGCAGCCCCCTTTGGTCAATGGCTCTGGAGGCTTCGTGTGGGGTCAGCTAGAGCCTACCGATAGCTCGGCGCCATCGCTCATGACCACGAACGATGTAAGACCCGCAGGGGCACGCAGGGCGGACGATCAGCCAGCACCGCTAGCCATAACTGAACAGAGTGGCCCAGCCGTTCTGCGTCCGCCGGCGTCCGCCGAGGAAGCGGCGTCAACTTCTCGGTGCGCTCCTCCGCTGCGCGGCCCACGCGGGGGGAGCGAGCGGCGGTCACGGCGGTGCGCGCCACGCGCGGGGCCTGGGGCCGTGCCTTCGGCCACGGGAGGCTCAAGAGATGCCCCGAGAGCCTCGACCCTCGACGCCCATCGATGAAGGAGGAGGAGCGAGAGAGGAGCGAGAGAGGAGCGAGGAGGAGCGAGGAGGAGGAGATAGGAGCAGCGAGGAGGAGCGAGGAGGAGAGAGGAGGAGCGAGGAGAAGAGTGGAGCGAGGAGGAGCGAGGAGGAGCGAGGAGGAGCGAGGACCCCCCCGAGAAACCCCAAACCCGCACGAGCATAAGGCGAAAGGTCACCGCGGATCTCCTGGGGGGTGCAGTGCCGACCCAAGAGATCCGCGCGGACCTCCTCAATTCCCCCAGACAGCGAATTACCGCCCGAAATGTCTGTCAGGGCTCAGTATCATCTTTCTAACACTCGGAGTCCCAGACCCCCAAGATCGGTGGCCCATCGGGGCCCCCACCGTTGTGACTCTGCAAACCAGGTCAGGGTTCCCTGCCGCAAGGGCGCCAATCACTTTCGTGCTGTCATTTGTATCTTCGACCGAAAAACTCGACCCTGGACATCAATGGTGAAGGACCCGGCAATGCCCCCAGAGACTCGACATTCGACCCCCGTCGATTGTCTTGGACCTTCTAGATCCGCGCCGGACAGCCCTTAGGATGACCCAGCTCCGATCCGATGGATCCGAGCGGACCTTCGAACGTCTACGTTCAGCAGCTTTCTCTCCAACACCCCTCGATCCTCGCTCCTCCCTCCGTCGTCGATCCCTGGAGCCTCGAACTTGTTTTCTTCGACCCTTGGTGGCGGCCGTGGGGTCTGAACTGGCTTGGCCCCCAGAAAGTCGATCAGGAGGGGGGAGATGGCTCTAATCCGTCAAAAACTAGACCATGGACCATGGACCCCTCCCAGGGTCCGTCCAGTGTAATGATTCCCCCCAGATCAACAATTGTCGGTCCCGGGACCCAAAAACTGCCCCCAGAGCCCAGAAAACTCAAAAACCGAATTCGAACCCAGTTCCCTCGAATCTGCCCTCCCTTCCTGCTGACCGGAACCAGTGCAGTGCCACTTCAGAGCTCCAGCTGGCTCCAACCCCCCTCGATCCTCGATCCCTCGAAGGCTTAGGTCGGGCCTGTCCCCCCTTCAGGCAGATTTTTGATGCAAATAATACAAATACCCCAAAATAGTCAAAAATATTTATCCCCAGACTACTCCTATTACTATTTTTGAATATTCCCCCTGTCGAGGGGAGGAGGAGGAGGAGGAGGAAAAGCAGGAGGAGGAGGAGGACGAGGAGGAGGAAAATCAGGAGGAGGAGGAAAAGCAGGAGGAGGAGGACGAGGAGGAGGAGGAGGAGGGGGAGGGGCGCTCGGCAGCCTGCGCAAGAAAAAAGGAGGGGGAGGGGGAGCGAGGAGGAGGAGGAGGCTACTCAATGGAAGCCTCGACGCCTCGACCCACCCCCTCGCGAGGCACCACGCCGCGGCGCAGCACACCCAGTCCAGCAGCAGGCGGCTGAGGCCGGGCCCGTCCAGCTCCGACTCCCCGCCGCCGGGCACGCCGACGACGATGATGGGCCCACTTTCCGCCACCACCACCACCACAGGTAGGAGAGGGGGGAGGAGGAGGAGGAGGGGGAGGAGGAGGAGGAGGAGGAGGAGGAGGAGGAGGAGGAGGAGGAGGAGGAGGAGGAGGAGGAGGAGGAGGAGGAGGAGGAGGAGGAGGAACCCCTCATCCTCCCCTCTCCCGCGCCCTGCATCTGGTAGCGGCGGTGGAAACTCTGCCCATCAGACGAGGGTGTGCCAGAACGCGGGCAGCTTGGAGGCGGCCGACGCTGCGCTCACGAGCCGGACCACGGAGGCGATGGCCACGCCCTGGTCGACCCTCGGGAGCCACCGGCACGGGCAAGGAGCCTCCATGGGAGCCTCTGTGGACCTCCACGGCCCGATCGTCAACGAGATTTCGACCGGAATTTCCCCACGCGTCTTCACCCGTTCGTCAAGATTTCGTACATAGCTCCACCAATGCCGACGAAGGCTGGGCGCGATCCCCCAAACCGCAGGGAATTTTCGGATCCTCTGAGGCTCACATGAACAAACACACTACACGGGGGGCGGAATGGCAACTTCCATCTTTGAAATATTCCGCGTTCCTGAAGCCAGAAACCTCCGAATCCAATGCAATTTGCTTCAGGTTCGTGCTTTCGGGGCCATAGCCAACTTCGTAAGTAATACTCGATCCACGCCCGTGAGGCCAGATTCCGTTGTAAATAACACCAGGCTCGCGTTCCCGAATCGACTGTATATTCAAATCGCGCAGAATTCGCGCTGAATCCTGAGTAAATGACGCCAGATTCGAAATCCTGAGGCCAGAACTTCTCTCAACTTATGCAAGGCTCGCGCCCCCGACGCTAGATTCCCTTAGAATTGCACCACATTCGCTTTCCCGAAGCCACTGCCGCTGTGACTTACGCTGGATTCGCGGCATACCTGTGACATCTCCAAGCACGTAGGGGACTGGCGGCTGAGATCGAAGCCCTTGCGGGTACAATCTGGCGACGCCAGTGACCAGGACGATCGAGGACGAAGCACGGCGCGACTCGACGACGACGACAACGACAAAAACGACAAAAACGACGACGACGACGACGAAGACGACGAAGACTATAACGACGGCGGAGTGGAGAAGGGAGGGGTGCGTCTCTGGCAGGATCGGAAATCTCGACGAAGGCCTCTTAGAAGGCAGGCGGACGGGCTTCCGAGAAGCTCCCCCCCGCCTGTCAGGGGCAAGGATAGGAGGGGCAAGGTCAGGGGCGGAAACACTTAGCTGAAATCGGCGATGCCAACCTCTTTCGAAGGTAGGTATGCCGCCCGCCCTCTTCTTCTCTCTCTTGCGAAAGCGCGAAGCCTATGCTCGACGCGTGGTGTGGGGGGCGGCATCAGCCCCCACCTCCGCAAACCGACGCCGCCGCCCAGGCTGCAGCGGCCCAGGCGGTGGCCAGGCTTGCACGGCCCGTGAGCAACGGAAGCGCAGCCACTTTTCGGGAACAGAGGGCGGGCGGGAAAAGGGCAGGACGGCGCGAGTCCTGGCCATCGCTCGGACGTCCATTCCCTGTGTTCTTTTTCGGTTTCGTGGGATGTTTTTTCGCCAAATGATCAAGGATGCTCCTCGATGGTCCTCGCCGAAGGAAGAATGCACACGCTCGAGCGAAGCCACGATAATGATGACGGAAGATGACGGCTCCAGTCCGTTCGTCCATGCTCTCGCCTGCACGGCCCGCCCGCCCGTGTCCTCCAGCGGCGGCTGAAACTGCCACGGCTGCGTCGCTTTTCTAGACAGCCCCCTTTTCGAAGGTGTGCCGCAGGGCTAAACCTAAACGGTGTTTTGCGTTTTCGTTTTCTTTTCGTTTGCCCCTCGCTTCTGCCTTCGATCCGCCTCCACCGCAAAACGTAGTCGAAACGGAAACGGCCCACGAAATCGCCAAGACACCGTTCAGGTCCAGCCCTGGCGTGCCGCCCGCCAATTTTTTCCTCTTTTTGCGCCAGCGCGAAACCACCTGTCGACGCGCGGTGGCCGACCTGCAGCGCCCCCCCCCCCCCCGCAAGCCGACGCCGCCCGCCCGGGCTGCGGAGAACGAGGCGGTTGGCGGGGTTGCAAAAGGCCCGCGGAAAAAAAACAACGGCAGGAACCACTTTGCGGGAACAAACGGCGGGCGGGGGGAAAGTGCAAGATTTCAGTCGGGCCTGTCCCTCTACAGGAAGCATCTTCAAAACTAGTCCAAGCAAACAGAAGCAAGAAAAAACCGCCAATCCGGCGCGTGAGGTTGAACAAGTATTTAACTACAGCCTACAACCTAAAGCCTGAGTTTCAGCTCTGCTGGGGGGGGGGGGGCCGGGGTGGCTCCGCCGGAGAGCGCGAAGCTTTCCGTGTTGGATCAACGTGTCAAAACTCCACGGCCACACACTTGCCTCCACGAGCCTACAACGCGTAAACACTTCCTGAAACCTCGTTTTATTTTTGTCCCGAGGAAGTGAAACCCGCAAGTTGGACTGGATAAAAAAAGAAAAACATATAAACAAATAGCTTCTAAAATGAACAAAAATGGGCGACGACGACGACGACGGCGCCGACGACATCCAGGGACCCCCAATCTACTCCAAATGATTTGGCACCCCTTCAAGACCCTCCCACATCGGCTCCCCTTCCTCGTCTTCCTCATCCTCCTCATTATTTTGCCAATGGTCCTTCATCTCGCCACCTTCTCTTCATCTTCCCCCTCCTCCAACTATCTTGCAACACCGTCCGCCCCATCCTCCTCCTCCTCCACTCAGCCAACTTCCTTGGCTTCTCCTTTTCGTCTTCCTGCGCGCGCCATGCCCAACCAATCATCATTGAAACCTCCTCCTTTCCTTTCCTGCTCTCACGCTGTACCCAGCTCCTCAACGTGAGTCGTTTCGCGATCGCGCGGGGATGTGCACCCGCCTTCACCTGCAATATCTGACGCAACATCATGACGAATCCCGACATGACCGGCGCCGCCCCGCCGACGTCGCGCGGTCGCCGACTCACCGCCAGCACCACCTGCACTCTCCATCCAAAGCACAATCGCGCCCTGACAACAAGTCGCCAAGACAGAAACACCACAGCACACCGTCCGCCACTGCCCGCGCGACCACCGCGAGCCTGCCGGCGAGCTACCCTTCCAGCGCTTTCCCATGACATCCCCTCTTCAAGAGACACTGGCGTCCCGCACCTCTGCTCGATCATGTTTAACGCCGACAGGCCGGTGTCTGCATAAGGCTCGGAGTCTTTTCTGCGCAGCGGGCAAGACCCGAGCGCGGTCTCCCAAACGCGCATTTTCCGCGCGACACCAGCCCCCATGGACGTGTGCCCCACGTTCCCACACAGTCCAAACACTTCCTGTTGCTCCCTGCCCACTGCCGATCTCCAAGCCAGTCTCGTGATAAGTCTTCGCCGCGCTGACCATGGCACTTCGTCACCTCGGCGCTTCCTCGCCTCCTGACGCAACCCAGTCACTTTCTATCGCGGAGATCCCACCGCAGATTTCCAGAACGCTCTCGCTGCAGCATCTGGCCACATTGCCCATGGCATTTCTTTGCAGCGAACTTCGGGGCAGAAGATTTCTCGGCTGTCGCTTCGACGCATCTCTGGCACGCCAGTTCCTCTCCTTCCCAGCGCTGCGTTTCTGAGACTTCCGTGTGTCCGAGCAAAACCTTGCACTGCGAGCGCGGCAAGAAGGTCTCCCTTTCGAATGTTCTCCTTGCCCCATGCCCCTGCTCAACGCCCGTCGTTTCCAATCTCGCCCGAACAGCAGCCCAGTCCACTTCCTCCCCCGGCATCTTCCTCCGCAGGGCGCATGGGCCCAGAGGCGCGGACACGTGGAAAGACTCCTTCGGAAAAAAGCCGCATGATCTGTTTACCGAGCCGCGACAGCGCTCGGCTCAACCCAGCGTAGCGCGTTTGCCTCGTCACATTCAACCGCTCGTTCACGCCCGCCGCCAGGGGGCCCTGGTCCACGCCTTGCAGCGAGCGCGCTGCGACGCAGAACGCCGGCGTCAGTGGCAACTGCTTCCGTTGTATCCGGAGCCGTGGGGCCACGCGATTCGCTCCCAGAAACCAAGGGCCCGACTTCCACGCGATGGGATACACTCCTGTAGCGGGGCCCTCCAAGCACCGCTGCGCGCCCATCTTCCGCGCATGAAAGCACGCGGGCAACCATTGCAACGCCGCCGCGTCCTTGCCCTTGCGCGCCCGTCAACCTCGTCCGCGCACCCTGCGCTAACGGCAACCACATTCGTTGCAGGTCACCGCGCTGGCGGCACTGCCACGACAACCGCTCTTTCCTCTTCCACGGCATGGTCGGGTCCCCCCGCAGAGCGCCTACCGACGCGCTGCCTTTCGCCGGACACCGCGAAAGTTTTTTTTTTTTTTTTTTTTTTTTTTTTTTTTTTTTTTTTTTTTTTTTTTTTTTTTTTTTTTTGTTTTTTTTTTTTATATATATATATCAAAAAATAAAAAAAAATGTATATATATACATATATATATATATATAACGCGCGCAGTCGGGCCCTCAGCTAATTGATGCCGCATCGCAGGTCGTTGTTGGGCTCGGCGAAGGGGGCGCCTTCCATGTCGGCCTCGCTCAACGCCTCTGCCGACGCAATCACGCGATAACGTGATCGCCGATCCGCTGGGCAAGCTGGGCACTCCATTGCGCGCAACGTCGACCACGCAACCCCCGCTTGCTTCAACTGTCCCCGCAGCGCTGGGATACCATCACACTTGCGGTTCCTGCATTCTGGCGCGCCCGCCGCCCAACTCCTTGGGGCGCTCGTTTCACGCCCGCGCATGAAAGCGTAATTGTCGTCGCTCAGACTTGACGCGCGGATCGTCCAGAACTGAATTTCACCACCGGTCGGAGCGCCGATATGGACGCGTCAGCTCCGTCTCGCCCTGAACGCGCTCCCACGTGAACTCCAAAGACCATCGCGCGGGGGCAGTCTCTTTCTTCCGATGCTTCTCTTCCGCATACTTTTGCGGAATATTGTGCAACGGCGCCCCTTCCGGGCAATCCAGCTGATAGCGATCCCCCATGCCTCCGCGAATTGCTTCGCCGACAACATGAGCACTTCATCAATGGGGATCACTCTGCACAACAAACACCTGCTCTGGACAGGCTGACTCGCCAAGCGAACATCGGCGTTGCTTTCCGCGACGGGTTCGGCCCCGCCAAGAAGCGCACCGTGCTTCCTCAGAGCCCCGCCCCAAGTTATACTTGCAATGTGCAGATGCGACGATGCCCCCCCATTGCCCACCCCATCATCTCTTCGAAAAACGCCACTATCTCGGTGCAACAAGACTTT